TTTTTTTTTAACTTGGACCACTTGTTGATTTCTGTGTGTCATCCTTGATTGAATGCACGGAGGTCACGTTAATCTTCTTTCTTTGTATCGTTCCAATTTTAACGGCCATGATATCCCGAACAAGTCTTACTCTCATTTTCATTTCTAAAAGTAGTAAATACTGTATTGTGTTTGTTTTCCTTTATCTACATGTGAGCACCGTGATGATGATGATGATGATGATGATGATGATGATGATAGCCATTCTGCAAGGCACACTGCTACGTGCTTGCAACCCCCTCCCCCCYCCCCCCTCCCCCCTCCCCCAGCTTTCTATGCATAAAGCCACTGCCGACTCGTTAAACCAGTGGTACGTATCCTCCCACCCTTCCCCTCCCCCCCTCCGACGAATCCCATTGCGTTCTGAGTCTGCTTTTCTAAATGGGGCAGCCCCTAGCAATATTATATCCATCTGATTTCCTAGGGGCTACCCCTTTCAAAAAAAGGGACTCAGTAGACAAGACAGTCCCCTCCACCACAGGTGGGGAGTTGTTTCCCTTTCCCTCTTGCAACACATGCCTTGTATCGAGTCCATTTCCGTTGTTTTGTCCTTAGCTTCTGGGAAGATGAAACCACAAATCAAATCTGGGTATGTATATGGGAAAGGAGTCAATCCAGCCGCAGGTTCCCCTATGGCTACCTTGTTACGACTTCACCTCAGTCACTGATTCTACCGTGATGGTCTCTATGATCAACGATGCGAAAAACATGCTGCGCACTTGACGTGCGTAACGTATCGAAGTCATTGGTTTATCATAGAGAGGATTTCGGGCAAAAGAAATTCCCATGGTGTGACGGGCGGTGTGTACAAGGCCACCCAGTGACCAAGCTACACTGCCGATCCTCCATTCCTAACGGAGGTAGCCCCTATAACATTATTGTATCCATCTGATTGAATCCGGATTCGGACTCAGGATCTGTTCATGAACTGGTCCATGTGCATGCTAGCATTCCTCCGCATGGGCTGGCTACTCGCCGAGTCTGCTTTGATGCAGCGTTCCTTATGCTTTCCATCTTCTCCTCTCTCTCGTGTAGCTTCTGTGATCTGGACATCTCCAGTCTGTGTTTGCCATGACTTCTTTTTTTTTTTGTGGAAAGAAATACAGCTGTCTTCTCCTCATATGATGGGGGACAGTTGTATTTTTTTTTAACTTACCCTAGGTGTTCTGCTGTCTTGCCTCTCAATAGCTACCCGTTTCTATGGCCTACCCACAAGCCCTACAAGGCAGATGATGGATCACATCTACGGTAGTCAGGAAGGGAACCAGGATCTAAGACTATAGTCCACAGCCAGGATCTAGGGCTAGGGT